GTGATCAGGTACAGGACGGGAGGGGGGAGGTACACCGGAAAGGAGGGGATGGATGAGAGGCACATGGACAAGTACAGAAGGGGAGGGGGGAGAGGCACATTGGCAGGTATAGGAAGAAAGGGGGGAGAGACAAATGGGCAGGTACAGGAGGGAAGGGGAAGAGACACATTGACAGGTACAATAGGGGAGGGAGGATACACATGGACAGGGAGGGAAGGGGGGAAATGGAACACATGGATTGGGCTAGGAGGATAAATGGGACACATGGATGGGGCTAGGATGGGGGAATGGCACTCATGGAGAGGCTTGGGGGGCTGGGAGGGGCCAATGAGACACTGATAGGGGGAAGCAGACACCTGGAAGGCCTTGGAGGGGGTAATAAGACACTGGGATGGGGTAATAAGACACTAGGAGGGGAAATGAGCCACTGGGAGGGAGTAATAGGCAGGGCCGGACTGGGGATACAAAGCAGCCCTGGAAAAAAAAATTGTGCCAGCCCCATAAGTCACTGCGCCATATATTGTCGCGTGTAATATGCAAGGCTATGTCTTGCCAGGACATATATATATATTGCTTTTTCTAATATAAAATATTGGTCCTTTCAGGGTAAAATGTTTAATTATACAGTAAGCATACGCACATGCAGACACAGGCAATTTCACTGACATTTCAGTGACACACACAAGCTCATTGATACACACACACAGCTTAATGTGGTGGTACTGGTGTCTATAGCATGTCCCTACAGGCTTTTCAACGTAAACACTGACTTTTCAGACAAAAGGCAGTGTTTACATTGCTTCAAAGTGACACTGCTAGTGACAGTCACTCAGGCGGTCACTAGAGGTGCTTCCTGTGTTAGTGCCCTCCCGCGCTGCTGAATGAGACTGGCGCCGGAATATGACGTCATATTCCGGCGCCGGTCTCATTCAGCTGCGTGCTGGGGAGCAGAGCCAGCGCAGCTCCCTCAGCGGCCGCCAGGACAAGTCCGCCAGCGGCCGCCAAAAGCCCTCCCCAGCGGCCAGGGGAGGGCTGGCAGCCTTAGGCCTGGGGGGCAAAACCAGTCAAGTAGACTGGTGCACCTGCCCAGGATCAGAGCCGGTGCAAGGATTTTTGCCACCCTAGACAAAATAAAAATTTGCTGCCCCCACATGTCACATCACAATGCCCCACTCATATGACCTGCCATATGAACTAACGCCAGTGCTGCACACAGTGTGTGTTTACATTAAAAAGCCTGCAGGGACCAGCTATAGACACCAGAACCACTTCATTAAGCTATAGTGTCCCTTTAATGTGAGGTAAATTATAGATTAGTGTCACTAATATACTAGATTGCCTACTTACAACCAGATGAGGATGATGATGGGCTGCAGTTTGGGTCCACTGGTCTGGTGTAGAACAGGATATCTGGAGGCTGTTTGCAACTGTGGTCACAAAATTCAATGTTCTGGGAGAATTGGAAGCAGCTCAATTTTTTGGGGGCCCCTTACACAGCTCAAGGTCTGGGCCCCAGGGCCTGACGGTGAGTATGCCCATAAGGCCCACTCATAAGTTCCACCCACCTATGAGTTCGCTCATAGGGAGTGGAGTGTGTAGGGGATGTGTTATTGTAGAGGATCTAATATGTGTGCTTATGGTATGTAGTGTTTAGGGTTACCAGTTTGTGCAGGTGATGCGGTGTGTTTGTGTGTAGTGGAAGCAGTGTGTATTTGTGTATAAGGGATGTATTATGTGTTTCTGGTTGTGTGTAAGGGATGCATTGTGTGAATCTGTGTTTGTATGCATAAGGGATGCAAGGTGTGTGTCTGTATGTGTGTGCATGAGATGCATTGTGTTTCTGTGTGTATGTAAGAAAAGAAGTGTGTGTGTTTGCATTCGTGTGTACGGGTT